GTGAATGGTTTAAATGCAGCGCTGAAGAGAAAAAGAGTAGCAGATTGGATAAAAAAAAATCCATAGATATGTTGTCTACAAGAGACACACCTGAAAAATGAAGATAAAGAAAGACTAAAAAGGGTGGTGAAGATATACCAATCAAATGGCAACCAGAAAAAAACAGAAGTAGAAATATTAATCTCTGATAAAATAAATGTCAATGTAAAAACCATTAGAAAGGACAAGGAATGATGCTGAAAGGATCAGTAGAACACAAGGCCATAACAATAATAACTATTTATGCATCAAATGAAAGACCTGCAAAATACATGAAACAAATATTAACAAAACTGAAAAATGACATAGACAACACTACTATAGTACTTGGAGACTTCAATACAGCCCTCTCGTGAAAAGATAGAACTACCAGTAAGAAACTCAACAAAGATATTAAAGAATTAATCACTCAATAAAGCAACTTGACCTCATAGATATCTATAGGCTAATGCATCCCAAAAAAGCATAGTATACCATCTTCTCCAATGTGCATGAAACGTTCTCCAGAATAGATCACATTCTAAGTCACAAGGTAAGCATCAATAAATTAAAAAACATAAAAATAATACAAGGCATCTTTTCAGACCATAATGCTACAAAATTATAAATTAATAATAAGAAGATAAAGGAGGAAAAACCATACATTTGGAAGCTGAACAACACCTTGTTTGAACATGACTAGAAGAGATAAAAAATGAAATTAAAACGTTTCTTGAAACAAATGACAATGAAAACACTACTTACCAAAGCCTCTGGGAAACAGGCAAAGCAGTAATCAGAGGTCAATTTTCAGCAATAAGCAAACACATCAAAAGACAGGAAAAAATGACCATCTACTCTTTAGCTCAACATCTTCAGTAAATTGAAAAAGAACAGCAAGAAAACCCGACACGCTCTAAAAAAAGTGAAAATATAAAAATTAGGGCAGAAATAAATGAAAGAGAAAACTGAAAAACAACTGAAATTATCAACAAAACTAGGAGTTGGTTCTTTGAAAAGGTCAGTAAGATTGACAAATCATTAGCAAAACTCACAAAAGAAGACACAAATAATTTGATAAGAGATCAATCAGGCAGCATCGCAACAGAACCAACTAAAATAAAAAAGCTAACATTAGAATATTATGGAAAAACTATAATCAAACAAATACGAAAACTTAAAAGAAATGGACAAATACTTGGGACTGCACAAGCTACCTAAACTGACACAAACCGAAATTGAATATCTGAACAGACCCATTACAAAAGAAGAAATTGAAAAAGTAATACAACAACTTCCAACCAAAAGAAGCCCTGGACCAAATGGTTTACAAGTGAATTTTATCAAACACTCAGAGAAGAACTGTCACTAATTCTACATAAACTATTTCATAAAACAGAAAAAGATGGAATTCTCCCAGACTCATTCTATGAAGCAAACATACTCTTGATACCAAAGGCAGGAAAAGACTTCACCAAAATAGAGCACTATAAGCCACTGTCTCTCATGAACATAGATGCAAAAATTCTGAATAAACTACTGGCCAATAGAATCCAAGGAAACATCAAAGAAATAATTCACCATGACCAAGTGTGATTCATAACAGGTATGCAAGAATGGTTCAACAACATAAGGAAAACAATTAATGTAATTCATCACATTAAGAAAGCAAAGAACAAGAACCACATGATCCTATCAATTGATGCAGAAACGGCCTTTGACAAAATCCAGCACCCTTTTTCCTGATTAAAACACTCAACAAAATATGATTTGAGTGGAATTTCTTTAACATAATAAAAAGTATTAACACAAAACCGAGAGCCAACATTGTTCTCAA